TCCATTTTATCTTACAGCCAAACACTGATAAAAATATTTTTATAAAGAAAGAATTACATTTATTTCAGATTTGATTGGCAGAGCTTCCTATGAGAAAATTTGTTGCATAAAAGAGGGGATATTTATGTATTATACCACTTCATCAGCACATTATTAATTATTTTTCTATGTACTTTCTTTTCACTTGGATGACTTTGTACCATTTTTTTCTCTGTCTAAAGCATGTACTTCTGATGAGAGAAAGGTGTTAGAGAGAGGCTTAAATCAAAGAGAATCATAAAAACATAAATACAAAACAAAAATCCAAAAATGTATCATGATTTCTTTACATTTTGAAGTGAATTTTACGTTTTATATTATTTGTTCAGGTTTTTAAAAATTATCCCCAAAGCACTATGACAGTCAGTCTGATGTTCCTCCTTATTCATGTATAAAAATCTGAAATATGGTGTTGTCTTTTCATGTTAGCATTTTCAGCTTAACTTTTATATTGAGCTAGTGAATGAATAGACAAAAATGATTCCACTCTGAAATGTTTATGATTTTAAATATATAATGGATATTTATGATAAATGTATAACATGGCTTATTCTATTCCTATATAAATAATAAATCTTGAACCTTGAAATTAGAATTCAGCACCACCACAGGCCACTAACCACTCCCAGGAGGCCCCAAAACAAAATTAAGGTCTTTTTCTAGTCTTTCTTATTCCATTCTACTGCTTTCTACATTTCAGTGTGAAAGGAATATGTCTGCCAAAAACACTCTCAGAATTCCACCACTAACAGATACTTGTAAAAATAAAACTTTTGAAAACACATAAAGAAAAGAAACGGCATGTACTAAATGATGTTAAGATCCCAATGTGATTTTCATTAGTCTTGGGCTCTGGCAGCATAACGCTTTAGTGTCTCAGATCCCAGATTAATAGACCAGTCCTCAATGCTAGGGCTGATGAAGAACCATTTGCATAGTTGGATATTACTTGTGACTTTTTAGTGTTACTTCTAATGAAAAATCACCACAAAGATAATGTTTGAACACTAAAAAAGGTTCAAAAAGTTGTTGGTTCCAAAGAACACTATATAAAGGCTAGCCTGTAAAAATCATTTCCATTTATTTTTCAAATTCTTTTTTTTTCACTCTTCTAGAAAGAATTTGAAACAACAAGTACAAAGGTACACACAATAGAATTGAAAAAAATAATGCAATATCAAATCAAATTGGAGGAGATCATTCTAGTAAAATCCCAGATAACTCTTCATGGAAATAAAATTCAGATGAAAAGTCTTTATACAGGTACAATATTTATTTGAGGAGAAATAGATTTTTCTTGATATCACAATCTAAGGTTGATTTACAGCATGTGTATATTGAAAACTTACTAAACAATATGAGTATACAGTAAGATTGAAATGTTTTCATTTATAGTTCTACTAAAGTTACATTATGGTTCTTCACTTGAATGTGTTATATATAATATTAAAACATAAACTGATGACTTGTTTGCATAAAGATAAATTATTATAATTGCCAGAGATAAACTTCTCTAGGAATATAGAAAAGGAAGTTTTTAAAAGCCTGAAGTCATGTGTCCATGAAAAACATTTAATACTAAGTGTTGGTTTACACCTTGGATTTTAAGGATCTATTTAATTTGATTATGTAAGTGCTGAGGGTCAGAACTCAGTGTTGTTGGTTGAAACATATGAAAATACTTTTTGTGATGTGTTTTCTTCCTAGGAAATGATAAAACTTTAAGTGTTTCTCTTGAGTAAAAGGAAACTCATCTAGACAAGCCTAAGCTATAAGAGCATTTGCAGAAAGAGCTACAAAATGGGTTCAAGAGTTACCAATTTTAAATGCTCAGGGCTGAGTAGTCTCATTGATCCCAAAGTTCTGCATGATATGCAAAAGCAAGATGATAGATATAGATGCTCCTTCATTAGTGATTAAAGGAACTATGCCTTTGCTCCTTGCCTTACAGACATGATATGAAAATATGAATCTAAAATGTCCAAGGAAGATGTTTTAAAAATAGATCGGTAACTAACTATGTGAGATGATCTGGGAATCTTTATTGTAGGAGGCCTAGACATTCTTAGATACTGTATCTGAATAATGTCAGATTCCTCCCAGACTTCTTGGTATCTCATTCAGCCATGGAATTTAAATGAACACCATCTACTCCAAAACTCTCATCTTACTTTTTCCACTTGAGGGATGAGTTCTACTTTGTGAAATTTAGGGAACTTATGCTATTGGTTGATTTTTAATTACTTTTTAAAGAAATAAGTAAACCTCTTGATCTCTTCTCTCTCAGGTAATTTAGATATGCAAATTAATTATTCTTCAGATCTGCTTTCCCAGGACACTATTGTCTCTTTTGTGGCACATCATCTGATTGTACCATCATAAGTACTAGATGATATGTCTAGGGAGCTCAAAGTCCCTCAAAGAATACCAAATGAGTTGAATTAAATGCAAGTGTTTAATTACAGGGAGGGAAAAGCAGCTTATATAGAGAAATTTGGAATGGTGTCAAAATTCAGATATTTCCAAACAAAAATCCCTGAGCTGATCTGTATCAATAATTGACATTTAAATGAATTGTCTATAAGCAACCAAGTTGTGGTTGTTGTTTTTGTTTTGTTTTGTTTTTTAATTTTGTAACTGTTTCTCTAGCACAAGTGAAACATTTGCTAATCGAGTGGATATGATAACCCATGTGCAAGTCCCTTAGAAAGTACAGCACAGACAAGGACATAATAAGAAGGAAAGGTCTGGTAAATGGATCTCTGACCAGAAAAGTCAAGCCTGAGAAAGATGTCTCAATGTGAGTCACTAGGTAGTTCAGGATAGCCAAGGGGACAAGATACCTGTCCAAGAAAGCCAACAAAGAAAATGAAATGTGGCATGCGATGAAAGCAAATGTGCCAAAGGCAAGCCTAATCCACTTACCAGCTTGCCAAAGAGTACAACTAGCTCTCAGGATGTCAAGGCTGTATTTTACTGAGTATCAGCCAAAATTCTCTCTGAGGAATGGTGCCTAATTATTTGAACCCAATTCTCTTTCCCTCATCCCCATCAAACCCTAATCAAAGCAATGCCAATTGTCAAGGTGCCAGCTGATCAATAAATTCCCAATTCCCACATCTAGCCTTGACCTTCTTTCATCAGTTTTGTTTTAAAACAATTTTCTGATATAACCTTTCTGGTAGCTACCTTTTCTCTTTTAGATTAACAGTATCAAGAAGCCATCATTTTAATCCACTAAATTTCATTCTAGTTATCTGGGCAAAGAATATCAATTTTCACAAAGGATCTGTTCTTTCTATCAAAGTCAACCACCACATATAGTGTAGTTAGATTGCAATACACCTGCAAGTAGCACCTAAGTATACAATTCATCAGGACTGAGTGTGGATTTGGCATGGAGACCACCTGCCTCAATCCCAAGCACTCTCCAGTAGGATAATACATCAGCAATAATGGCTAGGTGACCTGTTTTTTGTTTTTTGTTTTTCCAGTACCTTGCCTTCCCAAACTACTATGGGTGGTCTGTTTGAGTGGTATCTTATTGGAGTTGAATTTGGAATCATCAGTGCAAATATCCTGCCTTTTTGAAATCATATGTGCACTTGGGAAAAAGTAGAGATTAATTACTTAGGATAAGAAGAAGTTTTGAGGAAATTTGGCAGGTGAATTCACATTTGGGAAGCCATTCTGGATTTTTTATTATTATTATTTACTGCAGTTGCTCCATAGTATTTGCAAATACATATTTAAATAGGTACAGATTGTGATATTAAATCCACTGTATGAATTTAGCATGATGCCCTGGTTTAAATCCTCAGTACTGAATAAAAAAATCATTAAAAGCATATGTATGAACTTAAGTATAACTTAGGGTCAAAGAAGTATTTAAAACAAATTTGCACTAGCCCTGTGTCTTAAGCATTATGAAAGTATGTTGTTTTTATTAGTAATATTGTAGAAATCTTTAATACACAAAAAATAGTCACACTTAACATAATTATAGTCTTTAAAGTCCACTATTATTCATTATGTAACAACCATAGAATGCCAGAAATTCCATCCATATACTTTATTATTCTGTATTTAATTCTAGATCAACAGCCAGTGGTTGCAACTTGACTTTAACACTTTCTATTGATAATGTTTAGTATCTCTACATGTTTAGAATATTGCCCTGGGAAAAACCTAAAACTGACATATAATTCTTTCTTTTTTTTAAAAAAAAAAATGTGTTTTATGAGGAAGCAATTGTTGTGTTCATTTTCTAGCTACTTTAAAATTACTAAAAGTACATAAGCTAAGGAATCAGGAGTTAAAGAATCAATGGAGAAGTTTCTTCTCCCACAGAGAGTGTCCTTTCCTCCCAAATAAAACCTTAGCTCAATACTTTAATCTTTACCCACATTTTGCCTGGCCACAGATTTTTCCCACAATGTACAATTTTTCCTATTGCTCCATTATTTCATGAACTGTTGGTCTGATATTCCTGAATGACCTATAAAATGGGAACTCTAGAACAGTAGCTCTCAAGTTCAAATTTACCTCACAACACATTACTTCAGAAAGATCTAGCATTTGCAGCACTAAAATACTGTCCTTGAGTGTAATCAGTTGAAAGAACCAAGCACAATATTTCCTATTCGGAGGGCTGTGCCACAGCCCTCAGAAACAGTGAGGGATTGCATAATGTTTCAAAAGTTTTTTTCCAGTGCAGTGTCACTCATGTGCTTGAATAGTTAAGATTTTTTTAAAATATATTTTGAGGAGTTGATAAGAGCTTGAGTACAGAGTTTCAGAAAATAGAAAATAAAAGGACTCCTTCAGCATGCACAAAGTTAACTTCAGGCATTCTTCATTGTTTTGCTGTATCTTACTGTGCAAATCCCCAAGTTAAGGATGAAGGAGAGGAAGGATTGTTCCTGAGAGCCCTTGAGCCACCTGGGACTAACATTACTCACCTAAAGATGGGTCTTTGGAGATGTTTCTTCCTGATTGTGACGTGGTCATCCATTTAAAGGTGAAAGTTGAACTTCTTCCTGGAAGCCACTCCAGAAAATCCAGGGAGGGAATGTGGAAGCTTATCCTGATCTATCGTGCTGCAAGGAGGCCAGAAGGAAAAAGTGGTTTCCTCTTTCTCTTTTTGGGTGCTGGGAGAAAACTTCCCTGCTCTCTGCCAGCTGAGCAGTGTGTCCATAGAGGCCACATAAGACAGGCACGTTGGGGCACTCCCCCACAGAGCAGGGTGTGCAAAAACCACCAAGAGTCACGTTGATATGGGCCAGAGGAGCATACGGGCCCTCGGAAACAGAACAAAACAAACAGAAAACTGCCTACCCCAAGTGTCACCCAGGTAGGAGCTCCCTAAGTTATTGCAGCAGCCATGAGAGCGCTCCTTCCACATGCTGGTCAAGCTCGGAAAGGATAAGTCCCTCCCTGTCTTTAAAACAGCCTGTTCTGAGGCTCAACTTTTTTTCTTCAAAATAAAAGTTGTACAGCTGGTTCAGCAGTCCCATGTGAGTACCCTCTGGAAAAAAAAAAGTTTGTCCTGTTAAAATAAGAACTGTATACAAATTAATGAAGAAAGATGGGCTCGGGTTGCAGGGCTGGCTCTGCTTCAAGAGATTATAATTATTTTACAATCTTGCTTTTATTCATGCTGGATGAAGTGTGGAGACGGCTCATCATTTTTGGCACTTGTAACCTAATAACCTGCACTTGGCTCAAGTTGAAGATGCCATTACACTGATAGAAGCCCATGTGAGGCTTGCCAGAGGTACAGAAGTTAGAAAAACAAAAATTGCTCAATTCTGTTGGTGACATTATACCTAGATATACCCAAAAGAGGCTTTCCAACTAAGAGGAAGCACTGCAGAAAAAGAAATGAAAACACATGCATGCCTACACACACACACACACACACACACACACACACACACACACACAAATCCCCAAACAGCCTGGGAGTCCAAGGTTTTATTATATGATGAAATTTGAATTTATAAAAATAAAAGGAAAGACAAGAAGGTATAAAAGATAGTATGTTAACAGCTGAAAATAAATGACATTAAAAACTGTTTTATTTAGAAAACTTAGTCTTGCACTGCAGGAACTCATATTCTAGTTCCAGATAATGTGAATTCTCATTTTTCAACAAATCCTGTTTTGGAGACTTTCCTGATGGCTAACAAAGTTCCTGCTCAGTCAATAATGTCATAAGGTTCCAGGCCAGAGGTTTGGTATGTGATAAAACAATGATCTCAAAGCACGGTTAAAATATTTTAAAAATATACATTTAATGAAGGAGGAAAATGAGCCACACACATGCCTTTAGCTGAATGATCCATGAAAACAAGAATCAAGTGTCACAAAGAAGGACAGGACCTGTAGTCCTTTGCACTATCCAAATACTTCTGGAGGAGCAAGAATACCTTTTGATTTTTTTCCCAGAGGAGAGACAAGGAAAGAGAGAATAACAAATCATTGTCTTTATCAAGAAGTTCTAATTCAGAATAGGAAATGTAGTCAGTCTGAGAGCACTAATAACAAAATGAATGGGTTCTAGTTCTAGTTCTATCATGAACATGCTGGATCACTGGCAAAATTCTTGACCTATCTGAGCCCTGGTTGACTTGTTCATAAAATGAAGTTGTCATATTAATTAAATTATATGATTCTTTTCTATCTGTTATGGTACTATCATTTTATTTACAAATATCATTAGTTTGCTTCTTGTAAATAAGTTAACATGGAAGTTCTGATGTCTGATACTGCAAAATCTATACACATTACCTGTAGACTTATAAATAAATTAATTTTATATTACATGCATTCATATAGATATTTATTTATATAGTGACATCTAAATCAGTGTTTCCACCATTATCACATATGTTCTTTGCAGCAGTTAATTATGGAGACCACCTACATTCAAACCTGCTGTGGCTTTCTTTGTTATGTAGGAAGGTGCACAAGTAAAACATTGTGCAGTTTTCTTGAAAGTTTTTTTGCATTTGTGAATAGAATTTAATTTCGTTGGTCATGGTTTACCTATCTTACTATTATTTTAACATAAAAATTTCTCCTAAGGAACAATGCAAGAGAATTATCTCAAAAACTTTAAAAATTAATTTTGTCTACTTTTAAATTTAAAAATGTAAGATTTTTTTTCATAAATATGATAGAAGAAACTCAAAACAAATACCTATAAACAACTAGCCAAGGTGCAATTTGAAGAGCAAGCCAAATATGCTAACATGAAGCTAAAAGATTTGATTATCAACTGAAGAACCTGAAAGTTGATAAATTAATCATAGGAAATCCATAAGATCTTCCTTATGATGGATATATATATTTTCTCTTAAGTGATTAAGAGAGATAAGTTAAAGTTACATATGCAATAAGCTGTATTTAAACCCCAATCTCACTGCCAAAAAAAAAAAATTTTAAAAAATACCTACAAATATCCATTTAGCACAAAGAAAAAAATATCTATTTAAAAATGTTTTTATTAGCTCTTTCTCAAAGAGTACTTAAATTGGATATTGGGAAGGAAAGTTTCCTTTGCTGACTTAGTCAGTTTTTCACATGATATTCAATAAGATGAAAAGATCTCACTATTATTGCTTAAGTTACAAAAATAATTTCCTATACTAACACAACTGTGCTGTGCAAAATGCTAAAATTTATGGCATAAATAATCAGGCTAACTCTGTTATAAAGTGGAATAAGTGGAATTTATTATGAAAAGTTTTGTTTTTCTGGAGGCAGACATCAGAAATGGTGTTTATATTTTTCCTGATATGGTAAAACAAGTGCAGTCCTACTGTCTTAACACCTCTCTCTCCTCTCTCTCTCTCTCTCTCTCTCTCTCTCTCTCTCTCTCTCTCACACACACACACACACACACACACACATATTCACACTCACACATACACACACACATATACCTCAAACATATATAACACGCTCCCATACATTCCAAATCCCCTCAGCACTGTTAAATACAGTCATAATAGGCAATTCAGCAAATATTTAAACACTCAGCTGAAACGAATATACCCATCTTAACTACCACATTTTGTGTGATAAAATAGATGGATCAATTCATACGACTTCCAAACCAAAAGTATTCTACAAGTGTCTCTCAATGATCACGGTAAATAGGTGAGTTTTTTCTTTTTCTTAATCATTACTGCTTGTTCTCTGGCTCTGTAATACTCAAGTAACAAAGCATGCAATGGTAGAAAGATGGGTTGATATTATGCACCCAAGTGAAAGGAAATTAATATATCAGCAAGTTGTCTCTTTAACCATAGAAGTTTAGCCAAATCTGAGACCAAGCGTGTGTTTTTCTTGTTTTCAACATAGTTTAACACAATGTCACGAGTTACACATTTAAAGGCATTTTAAATTAAGTGGGATAGGGTAAAGGAAATGCAAGAAAGAAAGGATTAGATGGTATTTTAGGTTTTATCAATATATACATAAATATTATCATTTTCATTTTTGAAAAAAAATCTGCTTCTTTCCCTTTTGCCTCTCATCTTGCACCACGGTTAAAGCTAGCCTTCAGTATGATTAGAATATCATATACATTGAACTTCATTTCAGTCATTCCAATTTTTTTTTGACATATCACATATGAAGGATGAAATAAGTGTATATGTGATACTGTACATTTGAAACTGCCCCAGAAAAGTACCTAGACCTCAATGTAATTAAAATTAATGTACATTAAATTCAGGCAATACCATAATTCTCATTTGCCTGGACTATAAATATTGTATCAGGAAAGGGAAACATTACTTGGTCAACTGAACCATAAGGTGAGTGGCAGTGCATGAATCATTCCTGGCACACTCAACTCAGCTCTGCCTTCCCCCAGTGGCAAAAAGTTATAGCAGCAAGTAAGTGAGAGTGGCAACCTTTCAGAGAGAACTTAAACCTGATTTATCCTTTCCGGGTAAGTCATTCAGAGCTTTCAGCATTTTATTCATTTTTTATAATGAACTTCTTGCTACAGCTTTCACAACTGATTAAGAAGCTAACCTGTGCGTGGTAGAGTGATGAACTAGATATTCCTACTACATATATTGTCATGTAAGCAGGCACTCTGCTCCTGAAGTTGCTTGTGCTCTTTCTGGGCCATGTTTCAAATTTCATGGAGAAAGAGGAGAATCAACTAATCACTCTAGGGAGTGTCTATTATCCTAAACCCCTACTCTACTTAACTACCATAGAATTGAATTGCCCATTACGTTCTCAGTGCTCATAAGAACCATCTCTAGAAACTGGGCCTTCTGATATCAAGGAGAATGAAATAGGTGAATTGCAGAATATTTTCTACCAAGATCTCGACAGAAGATCTATTCTATTATCAAGAACCCTGGACTCATATTAAAGAACATATATTCAAACGCCAGCTCTAGCATCAATTTTCTCTGCAATTCCCTATCTGATGTCAGTTTCCTCACTACTCAAACTAAGTTGGGCCAGATGAACTCCAAGGTCCTTTCCTGCTCTGAAATTCTGTGACTCCCTCACTGACTCTATGACAAAATGCAAGTTACTTAAATTTAATGTCCAACCAACAGAATACTTCTCATCCACCTTGTTGTAGAATTTTAAATATAGTACATTATTCATATATGAAAATAAATTGCAGCATCTTTATTTTTTCTAATTTTACTCTTTGCTTTTTTATGACTTCAACTTTGAACTACCTTCACTAGAAGGTAAGCTCCACAGAGGCAGGGACCAGGGTCTGTTTATTTATTTATTTTCTGGGGAGGAGTACCAGGGATTCAACTCAGTGGCACTCAACTACTGAGCCACATCCCCAGAAATATTATTTTGTATTTTATTTAGAGACAGGGTCTCCCTGAGTTGCTTAGAACTCTTGCCTCAGCTTCCCAAGCTGCTAGGATTACAGGCATGTGCCACCATGCCCAGCTAGGGTCTGTTTTATTCTGTGTGCATGGTATATAAGAGACACTTAGTGGTTATTTCTTAAATATGGTAACATATAAAAAAGTAATCATAATGCCATTTTGTCGTCATCTTATGTAAGTATTATTTTTCAAAAATTCAGTCATGTCTGGTAAAATGTTCAGTCTTTTGTATTTCCTCTTATCCACTGTTTGTTGTTGTTGTTGTTTGTTGTTTGTTTGTTTCCAAGGAGACAACTGAGTTTATAAGAAGATGCGGTAGCCTTGTGACTAAACCTGCAGGTCCTTTCTCTCCTTGCATACCCTGGTCTTCACAGTGTCCCTTGTCTGTCTACAGCCCAAATCCATGGCTGCTCTATTCATTTGACTCATTCAGGGAAGAGTAGTCATTTCCTGCTGGCAGAGCCACTCTGTCTTCCCTAATGCTACCAGTTCCACTAAATCTCACCCAGATCCCCTCTCTGGATGTCAA